TATTCATAACAGACTGCCGGTTCATGTGAACAATGATCATGAATAATCAACATTACATGAATAACAAGAACGATGACAGTTCTTTGTTCAGTTTTGAAAAAGATGAGGATCATAGTCAAGATGTCATTTCTAAAGACAAGTTCTATCCCAAGTGTGATTCATTCAGTCGAGGGTAATGCGAATCTGCCTCGACGAGCGTTATTTATTTTGTAACTTTCAGATTCGTGTCTTTCGGGTTGTGTGCGGACACACGTTATTTTAGGAGAGGGACGCATGTTAGCGTCCAGTCGCCTTAATCTTTGTTCTCTCTCTCTCTCTCTCTCTCTCTCATGTTATCTCTCTATATAACCTGTGCGTGTGTGTGATTCAAAGGGGGGAATAAAAGTCACTCTCTCGAGGAGAGCCACACTAACAATACTGTATATTGTATAGACCACTTAGAGCGCTACAAAATCTGCTTACAACGTTTTCCCTAGGTCACACAGATTCTTTGAAAAATCAACAGTATTCGGCGTTAGTGGCGTGACATTTTTGTTAGCGACGTGACTGAGTACGAGTGGTCGGGCGAAAAAATGCTAGTACGACTAGAAGAAAGATCCAAATCGATTCATATAAACATGGATCATTCTTCAATATCTTTAGTTTACGACGAAGTAAAAATTTCTGATTCGACGCTTATCAGGAGCCGAGGGGAAGATATTTTTTCGAGGGAAATTTTACATCTCCGATTTTGCTGAAAATTTTATCATATATGTAGGTTGGGTCATAGAAATTATCCTGAAAGTTTCAAAGTTTTTCGTCGCGTCGTTGCGGAGATATTCGCTAATTACTGCTTAATTAATTAGCTAATTAATCAATTAATTTTAATTAAATGGCATCAGAAAGAGCAAACATTTTTACATCTGTTTATGATAGAAGAATTTAGTCAGAAAAGATACTGTCGTCAAAAATTAAAACGAAACGAGAGAGGTCAATGTCCTGTTTTGCGTGATTTTGCCCATATACAACCATAAAACACGAATATCCTTTAATCAATACATCCTCCTGACCATATCGCCAATAATTTCAACAAACCGGCAAGTGAAACATTTAAAAAAAACAACTGAGGATTTGTTCTCACCCACACCCTCGCCCTCACACACTTTGATGTTCTTATTTTCCAAGAGAAAATAATATCGAATGACTGTGAATGTGAGAATAATTTCGTCATCGAACGATTATAATTTTTCAAAGAAAAAAGAAATTATCTTTCGGTTCTTAATCTCTTTTAATCGTATTCAGCTTTTTTTCATTATCAACGTTATTCAAATATAATATTTTATATCAATAAGGATTTATGATAAGAATTTCGTCGAAAAATCCCATTAGGAATTTGAGATCAATAAATAGCGAGACAATATAGGATTTTTTATTTATAAGAAAAAATCTTCGTTTGATGATAAATACAATGAAAATGTATTGTTATTTTCTATTTTTCTTTTTGGTTCTACATTGTAATGGAAATTTAAATTTACCAACAAATACAATTGAAATTCCTTCTAATCGAATGTATAATAATTTCATTCGATCTGAAAAATATTATGTTAAACAACAATTACCAAGATCTTTTGAATTACAAGGTCCATCAGAAACTTTTGTCAAATTACCTGGTTTAACGCTACCTTTTTATCATACACAACCATTATTATATAAAATTAAATTTGAAGGAAAATGTTATTCACCTCATTCGAAAGGAATTTGGTTGTATTTGCGTCTAATGATTGATGATTATTTGCTTTATATCAATCGACTTTTACCAAATACTGCTAATCGATATCAATATATAGGTGAATACCAAGAGAACCATAACAATGATCACCTTGGTGGTTTTTTTTGGTTTTCAAATTCACCATCAGTCATAGCATGTTCATTTAGTGATATGATTTATCTAAATCCTGGTCTACATGTTTTTGATGTAGGTACCCGAGGTGGATATCTTGTTGGTACTTTTCCAACCTATGTTCAAGCCGGAGTATTAACAGTTGAAATGATTGAATATGATCAGTATGCAGATATTGGTATTAAACCAATGAATACGACTTTTTCAGGTTAAATAAATATTTTTATTGGTTAAACAAGAAAATCATTTATTATTCTTAAATAATTGAGAAAGTTTTCTGCATTCTATTTGATTTTATCATTATTTAAAATAAAGAGATTTCATTGTATTAGTTGAATAGATATAACTATGATTATATTACAATAATTTCAATATAAACAAGTTCAAAATCTTTTTATAAAACATTTTTTATATTCAACATTTTCAAATGATATCAATCACATATTGCAGCTGTGTTACATATTCCGCGGTATTGAAATGCATTCCGAATATATGAGATTCGTAACACTATTCATTAATGAAGCAGTTTTAAAGTAAAGAAAATATTATGTAAAAGTTAATTTGGTTTATTTGGACGTTGTAATATTGGTAGGCATGGTTCACAAAGTATCGTTATACTATCTCTCGGTTGTTTGAACTAAAAATTCTTCATATTTTTATTGTGACTAATATCAAGCGTTGTTAACATTTAATTGCTTTTTATTGCGTCAATCAATATTGTTGCTCCTTGATTCGTAATAGAATTCGATCTGAGTGAACAAGTTTTCAATGTCTTATTCTTTTTAATAAATATACCCAAGAATTTGACGCTATAATCGCCGATTTCACATCTGTTGAAAATGAGATCTTTTAATGATTGATTTCGTTGCAATGACTGACATAATTTTTCAAACATGCGATTATTCATATGAGATACTCTCAAAGTGAGATCTGTTATAATTGTATTCATCGCTAAACCTTCCATAATATCGTAAACTTGCTTATTGCAACAAATTCGAAGATGTAATTTTGTTAAACTACGATTGTTTTTTCATATATTTGTAATTGCTGACAGATATTTGCTGTTATCATCAGATTCAAAATAAAGACAAATATGTAAATTCTTCAAAGTCTTATTGATTTAAAGTGACTGAGCAAGAAGGATGACTTGTTTGTCTGTGAAAATCTAAAACAACAAATCTAGTGTTTGAATCAGAGATGGGCAAGTCAAGTCAAAAATGACTTGGTTGACTTGAATACCAATATAGGAAGTTCCTCGAGACTTGACTTGACTTGTCAGAGAAGAAAACGTTTCTCCCTACGACTTGACTCGACTTGTCAGACTAGAAAAAAAATTTCCTCTGACTTGACTTGACTTGACTTGGACCGATCACAAGTACTGGTCTTTTCGACTTGGAAATTTTTAAGTCACGTCAAGTCAATATGCTCAATTTTTTATTTCGTCTTTGAGACAATCGGATAACATAGACATCATAGCACATGAACCAATACTATCCCAGAGAAAAATAAAATATTGAAAAATATCATTTGTAGTCTTAGTAGCCAATTGAAAATATGAAAGTGATTCATAGTTAATCCATTGTATTGCACTTTGTCAAGAAAAACAAAATCATTTTCTTTGCACATTGAAACAACCATCCATGGAATCTCATAGTGATAAATCGTTTGATAATCCAGAAGTATCCATTCTGTTGCTTCCATTAACCCTTGTGCGGTATTTGTGGGTCCGATGAGACCCACAACATTGTTTTTTCATATTTTCTACACAAACATCTATCCTGTTCTGGTCCATCTCTCCGCTAATCGTTAGTCCTCTGACAGTACACAAGTACCATGTTACATTTCACATATAGATCGTACCACTGAAAAACTGAAGGGTAGGTCCATAGGGACCCCCAAGCAACTTTTATGTTATATAGATGATTTTTATCTATATTGTATCTGCCATCTATTATGTGAAGAGTTTATTTATCATAGATGTGTTAGTACAACATTGCCAATTGTGAATTGTTTATTTTTTCAATCGTTTTCTGACAATCTTGTTATCTATATATTGAAATATGTCTAATACAGTCTCTAGTTATATGTATGCAAAATCATTCATATTTATACATTACTACCAGATTAACTATTCCGGTTTCGATAAAAATATATCTTAAGGCTTACTATATCATATCTGCTACAGAGAACACTAAAAATGAAGCCTTTCTAACTTATTTACACGCGGGTCCTTCCGGACCCACACAATATCTTTTGTGTAAAAAAATGAGGACACCGTACGAGGGTTAATGCGAAAATTGTTCGTTTGATTACCGACAACGCATCGAACAACATCAAACTTTTCAAGATTTAATTATTCCTGGTTTCGAAGAATATTTCGATAACGACAATAATGACGAAAGTTCGAGTGACGTCGATCTTGATGCAGCTGACGAGGCTGATAAAATATCTACCATGTGTGACGATGGAAATCAAGAGAATATGATCGATATAATCAAAACAAGTTTTGATAATATAGCTGCAAGCAATGAATCGATGCGTTTGCCATGCTTTT